TGTGTGATTATTAATCAGATCACACATCAATTGCCAGAACCAGCAAAGAAATTCAGCCTGTAATAAAACTGTCATGTGCTGTGGTATTAAGACAGATGTTGCCAGTTGTGTGATAACATAATTAAACTGTTCTGTGAGGGATTCCATAAAATTATTCAAATTGGACGAGCACTATCATTTTACCAATAAAGCAATTTAGGGCAATATGCAGTGTCATAACACTGATGTTATCCTCTCCGCCAGATTTTCCAATAAGTTGGAGCCTGTGCTTGGCCTCCTGTGACAATATGAACACTATAAATGAAGATACCTGAGAGCTCCTGGAGATGGAGGTTCGGGTGTTGTCACTGTGATCCGCTCTGTGGATACATGCTCGCACAGTGCATGACTTAGATGACAAGGCTCAGAGAGGAAGCACACAGTCAGTAGGATAATGCACCACTGCTATTGGTCTAAAAGCAGCTTTTATCACACGTATCAAATATTCAGCGCTGCACTGCACAGATATATAATTCTGCAGCAGAGTAAATACAGAGATACTGGCAGGAATTCAATTCAAACGTGCGGCGATAAGGCAGAGTTCTTCTTGTGAAACACTGAAACACTGTATGTATTTCAATCCGGGCATCGCACTCTGTCCCTCTTGCCCTCAGCTCAGCAGCAGAGTACATGTGATTAACAGGGATCTGAGGCAGCAAATGTTCTCTGGCCTCCTCTATGACCTGATGCTGTTAACTCCCCGAGTCTGACCATTAGCCCAAAATATGGACGGGAAGCCAGAAACCAGCAGGCCCTACGCTGCCAGGCATGGCCTTCGGGCCTTGGCGCTCTCTGAGCATGTATGTGTACTGTATGTCAGCATGTGTGTGACTATGTCTGTGTGAGTGTACTGTGAGAGCGAGGCTTATCATCTAGCACGTCCCCCTAAAGCTGGGCAAAACACAGTTTCATGACGGTGGCTAAGTTGTGCATTTCCACCTTCTCAAGCCTCCACCAGGGACAGTGGCCTTGCATTATGCAAAGAGAATACCTGCGCCCACTCAGCTCTTTCCGCTGCCACTGTGATGCGTGTCACTCTCTCCTCTTTTTACACGCAACACGCCGGACACCTCAACCACACAGGCAGAGGAGCAGAAGACAAAAAAACCATACTGTGCTGGACTTATCTTGTGATAAATAACACAGCTTTAAAGGGACTTGTTTGACAAAGCAGCCTGGAAAGAAGAGCAATTACTCATCCCTCTTTTATTTTTTTACCCTTTAAGAGAGTGTTGGGGTATATTTGTACAGTATCACTGAGAGAAAGAGACAAGATGATATTTTAGAACTCGCTCGAACTTGATTAAAAGGGCTCCTCTAAAAGACAGGATATTAATATTTAATGGTCTACAGTTGTATCAGTTCAACCAAATTTAGAGTGAAGGAATGGTTCGGGTGGTTAAACATGTGAGATGTTATAAAATGACCATACATCACAGGAAATCCATGTAGGGAGTCTGAATGTCCTAAAAACAGCAGTTTCAACACTGATACAGAGTCCCTATCGTCATCATTTTTGCTGTTGTCTGTGTTTTTTGACTACAACAGCTACACAACACAACTTCCTGTTGCAAAATCAGAATCACAAATCAAACTCTTTCATGCTTTCTGTTTTGTTTCCTGCAGTATCTTCATTTCCTCATGTGGATAGCGTAAAAAAAACCACTTCTGCGACACAAACATGCTCAGAAACACATAGAGGATGATATTAAAACAAATATTATATTTATGTTCTAAAAACAAGGATGCTCATATATCATGCACAAGTAGCTGCAAACAATTAGGTACAACAACATTTATAAGCACAACCAAATGAGACAATGGTTGCATCGCAACAGATAACACGGAGTTCCTCACAAAGTGAACTCAAAAAACAGACAGGGGCTTTTCTTCATCCTTAGTTCTTAAACAAACAGTGTTTGACTTACTAATAGAGATGCTTAAATCAAGCTTATGGTCCACTTCCCCCAAATCTGACTAGTCTACAAGATGAATTCCCCTGTCAGAATTAAGATGATCAAACAGATTACAATTATTTCATCCCCCATCTTTATTAATGAGGACTGTCTTTCATTGTTATGTCCCCTAATAAGAATAAATGATATGCCACTGCCAGGTTTGTTGTTCCCGCTCACTCAAGGGATTCACAGACATTTGAGTCTGAGAAGAGTCGAGATTGATTTTTGCCTCACCTAAAGGGGTAATAGCATCTTGGATGTTTTGTGAAGAACAAAGAAAAAAAAGCCGTCAGCGTGTCAGTTAGAGGCGTATTAGTGTGAGCTCCAAATAAAACTTAAAAGAAAAACTGTGAAATGTCGCAAAAGTAAAAAGTTATCAAGTAATTGAGCGAAGATCGTAATTCCCCAGAGACAATTAACATGGTTCATGGTGCATGAGTGAAAATCCTGGGTTAGTCTAATGGGAGAATAAAAAGACTGCCTGCCTGCCGTCCCAGTAGCTCTACCATGGTAAGTAGCCTATCAAAGCCCAGTGTCAGGAGCTGAGAGTGAGACGTCTCGTCCTTCGTCCTCTGCATCCACGCGCCATTTATCACACACAACAATTAATACGCCTCCCTCTGTTTCAACTCAAACTGTGGGCCACAGAAATTAACCAGTGGATTTGTTCAAAAGGCATAAAGCAATAACAGCCTGCTTTTTACCAGTTAGTAAGCAGGGGGCAAAATATGCGACTGCAATACTTTGAAATGGGAAAGAGAAAGTTTTTTCTTCCTGTAATGCCACGACACATACTGCAGAGTAATAGTTCTTTCTGGATGACTAGAGAACAGGGACCATGCTTGGACGGATAGCTCTATTCTAGCAGGGAGGCTTTATTTCCATCCCTTCTTGGTGTCAAGTGCACATCCATGACACCCCTCTCTCACCCCTCCTCTCTCCCCCTGCCTCAAATACATTCATCAAAGTTGTAACCCTGTTGTCTTTGCAGAGCGAATCAGAATGTGCCCCTGGCAAAGAATGAAGGAAAAGTCAACAGGAATTAAGTTTCAGTGCAACTGTTTACTCAACTGTGGCCTGCAGTTATTGAAATTGTATCCATGGTTTTGTGTGACTACTGCAGTAATGAATTCAGTATGGCTGTGATTTTCTCACTGACGACATGCTCGTTTTGAGCTGGAAAAAAGATGGGATGGAGGTGAGGTCTTGGAACGGAGGGTATGGAGCTTGGGGAGTAGGGATGAAGAGCAGATTTGGAAAAGTCTAAAGGACTAACACTGAGACTGAGGAGCAGCTTGCCACATGCTAGCATGCCCCTATACTTACTGATTGGTTAAAGGTTCAGTGTGTAGAATTTAGTGACATCCAGAGGTGAAGTTGCATGTTGCAGTTGAATACCCCTCATCTCACCCTCCCCTTTCAAACATGAAATAGAACATGTGGTGAACTTCAGCTGTCATGAAAACCCAAAAGGTTTTAGTTTGTCCAGTTGGGACGACACTCAAAAACATGGCAGTCTCCGCAGAGAGGACCCCCCTCCATGTAAATATAAAGTTTTTAGATATAAAGAGCCCATTCTATGGTAAAGAGAAGAACTATTCATACAATTTAGATGAAACACACCAGTGAAAACATCACTAGGATTATTTTATTTTCAATTTCGGCCAAAAATCCCTTTCACCTAAATCATACACACTGAACCTTTAAAGCCTATTTCTTGCTATTTATCCCATTTCTCTCCACTAACAGATGCATCCTGTTCTGACGATACACTGTACCTAGAGGATGAAACTAAAACATAACCTGGGGCCTGTATTGTACATTTGCTCCTCTAGCTATGAGTCACACATCTTTCTAATGTACAATTAATTGAAGCACGGGTAATATGGAAATGTTTCAAAAACATGACTAATCACAATGAATAATAAGTTAAGAGTGTATGTAGGGCAGAGTACTAAACTTAAAAATAATGAATTTGATAAAACAAACATTAACATTGCATTAACATGTAAACCAAAGCAAGTCCGATGTCATACAATGCCTTTTCAAAGTGCTAAGCTATTTACAAACACATTTTTCATATCTTGTGTTGTCAAAATAAGATATGACTGAATTAGCTGTTTATCATATCTTCTGACAACAGACTTGTACATCACAGAGTCACAATATCATACCATGATGGCATGATGATTCTGCTGAAAGATGATGAATGATAATAGTGAATTACAGCTCTGCTCTGTACGTTATAGCACCATACCCCCACTCTGTGCTACAGCATGCTGCTCCATGCTGTAGCATTGTTGCCCTCCCTGATGGATGTGCTGTGACAACAGACAGCGGCACAGAGCCTGTGCATCATCACCAAACAGCTCCTGACAACAACCCCAGCCGCCCTGTCGGATAGACCGAGATAGCGGATGACACAATGATCTTTTCAATGTTGTTTCCTTAAACACACTGTCGTGTGCCACACACAATGCTGACACCAACAGAAAAAGCTTGTCTGTTTGCCTCAAGTCTGAGATGGCGAAAAATGTTTCGGGCTCCACCGACAGCAGCACTGCCGCGCATCCCGGGGTCTCATTGGTTAAAGTGGCAAAGTGTGGCATTAGTTGTGAGTGTGAGGTGTGTTTACAATGAGTCGGAGAAAAATGCTGTCATCCTGTTGGATGTCACAGTTTTTTAACTGTCCACACTATCCTGCAGCACCTACATACTTAAAATATGTCAGGACACCATTATAAATATTTTACCAAAATGCAGATTCTGCATGCTACGATAAACACGTTCATAACCAAACACAATCACACAGGGAGAGCACTTCCCCTTCTTTAAATATTCAAAGAGGGCCTCAATATACATAAATAATAATAATAATGTGTTTATGTACTAGATGTACTTTGAGATGAAATTAAATATTAAGAGGCACTTTAAGGAGAATGAGGCCTGCTGTTGACATGGCTTAATAAAGTGAAGACAGGTGTGAAAGGGGGACTGGTCTACCTGGTGCTGCTGGAGATGCAGGAGGTCAGCCGCAGTCACCTCCACTGACGGAGTGGCACTCTCTGGTCGCCCCTCCCTGGACCCGCCCTCCATGCTCGCTCCTCCATTTTGACTGACTGGTCCGTTACTCGTCGCCTCCGTCCCAGATTCTTGCATCATGACTTAAAAACCTGAGAGAAGACACAGAAAAAAGAAAAGAAAGGGGGACAGAGACGGAGAGAAACAGCTGTTAAAACACACAGCAGTGAGGTCGCATTTCAACACCGCACCAAACTATAAACATCTGTCATATCCTTCCCACACAATTTCACTTTTATTGCAGGTTTCCCTGTTGGTTTGTGCTTCCCCGAGTCTTGTTTGTTTGCTTGTAGAATATGCAATGAGGCAAACACACACGCACATGCTCTCACAGACTGCTTCTCTGCAGCGTAATGAACTGCTCCTTTGTTTTGTCTTTTCCGGTGCGGATCCTTTTGCAGATGACAAAGTCCTCTCTGGCCTGGAGAGAGAAATGAGTGGGATTCGGGTTCTGTTTGTGTTTTCCATTGCGGGGTGTATATATATACACAGGGGTGCGGTGGAGGGGTTTGGGGTCCAGCACACATCTGAGTGGAACCCAACCTGAGTTGAGTGAGAGCAGAGGAGCCCAAGAAAACACTGGACCTCCAAAAACCAAACACTTTCTATGGAAATGGATATATTTACTTGCATGGCTCCCAGAAGAACCACGGCAGAATGGCTTTTTAATGGGAAACAGGGCGACTATGTGAGGCCTGCCAAAGGATCTCCATGAGAAACAGCCAATATGAGGCCAAGCGAAAACAGTCCAATCCTTCAGGGGTGCTCAATTAACACCAAAACACAGGTCTGTGTAAAAATAAACTGCTTTGAGCAGTTGGAAAACATTTTATCTTTCATAACTTCATCAAACTGAAAAGGATAACAAAACAATTATCGTCAGCGTATACTTTTATATACCATTTCTTTATATATTAAAAATATGACAAAAGTAATTACTGTTAAATGTGACGACACATTTTACATCCTCTGTTCTGTTGTTGGAAACACAAAAGCCAGACCGACAAGCCACCCATCTCCTGCCTTCCTGGGGACGAGTGCCAGGGTAACACCAGTGCGTTTCTGTGCCATGTATTCCTCAAATCAGTGGAATGATTTAGAGCTTTTGTGCGTCAGTCGCAGGCCTCACTGGTGCAGTGCGTCTAGCCCCTCGATTCCAGGTTGGTTAATGAAGCTGACCAAGTCAGGCAGAAGCGAATTAACTTGGCTGATTAATTATTTATATGAAGCAGAATAAATGCCTTTAAAACACTGGGCCTCATCATGAAAGAAGGTGAAAATGGAACTAAATGCAGATTTATGGCATTGTGTTTAAGGCGTGTAATAGGAAGGCCAATGCGAGTTAATATGTGCTCATCTACGGCGGCACAGCGTCTCCAGAGATCCCGATCTAAACAAGATGCAGGCGCACACCCAGACACCGTGGGGACGCACACTCAGGCTGACAGATAGGAAATTGAGGTTGACAACTTGTCAAATAAGAATATTTACAGAGCAGAGGTGAGATAATAGTTATAGTTAACAGTTTATTAAAAAATAAACAGGCACTGGTTCTCAGAGACAGTCTTAAAGCTTGGGATTATCAGTAGCTCTTGTGGGCTTCAGTGAGCTACAACCAGAACTAGAACCAGAACAAAACCCTAACCCAAAGTGCACATTGGGTTACATCTTGTCTCCTGTAAAAGCCCTCCTTTGCAAGAAGCATGAACACGCGAGTCATCCGACACTGTGGCCTGTGCTGGTTCAGTTGTGTGTCATGACGCCTCCACACTCAGAGGCCTGTCTGAGCAGCTTGGGCCCGGCCTACAGGCCCAGTTGTCTGGGCTGGGACTAAAGCCGGCCCCCCTCTCCCTCCAGACAGATGTTGACCCGGCTCACCCCTCCAGTCTGGCACAGGCTCCTTCCATAATGGGATTTTCTAAACAAGGGGTGAGCAAGAAGAATACTGTGGGATGGGATGCAGCCAGCCACTACTCCATCTACAGGCTCCCCCTTGTAGCAACTCCCCTTCTGAGACACCAATTAGAAACACACATTCTCAAGCAAAATTAAATGCCATTTGAAATAAACCATGTGCTGACGTTATTCACCCCCATTTATTTTTCAAATAAAGACATTTTTCCACATGCAAAAAAGAGGACTTGCTTTTTTCTTTTTTTCTAAAGCTTAATAAAACTGGAGAAAGTAATGGCTATTATACATGCACTGTCATTCCGTGCAAAATTCTCATAATTATAACAGAAAGGCGTAAATTTCCAAATGCATGGCATCTCCAAAAGTAATCAAGAGGATGAGCCGCAGGGCTATTTTAATGTATGCAAAACTAGTGACCCACAGTAAAGGAGAGAAAAAGCTTCAATGAATGCAAAGTAATGCGCGCATGCTTGGAACCGGCACTGATGAGGGGATGGCTAAAATTAACACCCAATTAATTTTCGAATTGACAAACAAATGAAACCCATAAATCTACCTTCTCGTTAATTTCACCACAGAATAATTCAAAGCTGCAATATCATGAGCAAAAAAATTGGAGGAAAATGGAAAGTGGGCATTATCCATCATAAATATCAAGCAGATAGGAAAGAGCCTTATTAGAGAGTTGCGCTGATAACAATGTTAATCTGTGAGGCACTGAGGCAGGGACGCCATCATCAGCTGGGGCCCCGGCCACTCAAGCCATGTGACTCGGCCTGCGTTTGTTTATCCATGTATTTATTTTCACTTTGCTCAGGGGATAGCCTCCTTCACCATGACTCAAAAAGCTCCAGGTTTTTCCATCCGTTCCATTTATACAATGTGCACAAATTCAGCTATAATTACGGGTCAAGTGTCCCACTAAAAGGGTGCAGTTACTGGGGTTAAGAACATATATACATAAATACATGTTCATGCTCCAAACACAAACATTTCAACATAAAACAACACACAAAAAGAGACATGAGAAAAATAATATTTCTTATTAATAATGGAGCATGTCAGCGTTTTTTTGTTTCTGTTTTTTTTTTTTTTTTTTAATCCTGAGCTGGAAAGAAGTTTAAAGAACAAGAATGAAAATAATGGAAATTCCAGGAGATCAAAACAAGGCAACGTCAGTTTGTTCGAAAAGAAACCGGCTGTGCTGTTGATTATTAGATGCCTCTCTGTTCTTTGGAGGGGGGGGGGGTTGCTTGCAAAACAAAACAAGTGTTTGGAAAAACACTGGATAATAAAAAAAGGTCAGAGTTTCTGTTTGTTTACAGTTTGTTTTGTTTTCCCTGCCTCAAATATGAGGAGTACAGTACAAACAAGAGTCTCATGTGTCTCCCACCTGACCAGACAGGTTGAAGGTTAAGAACAGCCGGCGGCCAGAGCTCATCAGCCCTGCCTTTCCTTGCCTCCCACCCCCCTCCGTGAAAACATAATGCCTGTCCCCATGTCATGCTTGCCTAGAATTCAACAGCTCAAACAAGTCAGCAGTCGATTCAAGGTAGGGTCGGCCTGCGCAGCTGTGCTCTGACCCTTCTCCATGTTCTGTTTTTCTTAATGCTCATGACAGTAAAGCCTTAGCGGCCACCTGCTTCAACTCACCGAGTTCTCACACAGCCCTTGTTTACACAAGCCCACAACAAAAGCACAACATTTCTTGGGTGGGAGATAAAGACGTACAAAAGGAGAAGACAATGGGGAGAGGTTCACTTTAGAGTTGTTTAGGTTCGGCTTGGTTGCTAGACTAGACAACACATCAGTGTGTGCAACAACAGAATGCATCTCAAGGTTTGTTAAGAGCTGTATGTTTTGCTGTATTTTGGCTCCTGGTTCTGGGGAAAAGTCAAAAGACACAAGCTGTATGATAAATGGTCCATTATCACAGGCCTCATCGCTGATAACAACTACTCTGAGACTCTTGGAAACATCCACCAGACAACAGGCTGATAAATGGGGTAAAATACCCAAAACCTTTCAAAACTGTTGTCCCACGCCCTTGTGTACAGAGCTGCGTACCAAAATCGGGTAGCTAGCGGATCGGATCACGATGCAGATTTGAGTGCCTCATCCCAGTGCCTGAACCATATACTGAACGAGTTGCCTTGTAGGCAACATAAATGTCACCACACATCCCTCGTTAACATTATAATTAACTCTGGCGACAACACACTCTCAACATGGCTCTGGCAGCACGTAACTTTAACCCAGAATTAGCTAGTAGCCACCTCTTCACTCGAGTCGACACAACAACAAAATGTTTATAGCTAAAGGATCAACAGTGTGACTTATTTCATGTGAAATGATTCTGACACAGGGTGTACAGCACATGTTTAAAAAATGTAGGAACCGGTGAGTTTTAAAAGACTTGATTTAGCACTGGTATCGGAAAAAGCTTTAACAATGCCTAACCCTACTCGTATATGGGAAAAATTTTCATCATCTGCAAAAAGTGGGACTTTTACAAAACCAGAAGCACATCGATCACAAAGACTCAATCTGAACTCTTGATACCATTCCCAGTCCACTCTGTGTTGAGAAGAACTAACGGCAGGAATGACATTTTGCCAAAATAGACTTCACAGTCAGACCAAACAACCATGTAATCTTGTCAGCCACTTCAACCAAATCGCAGATAAGCAGAGCGTATCTCCAGACTACTGTGACAATAAAGTAGGAACACACACCCCAGCCCCTGCAAGCAATACATCCACCGCAAAAAAAAAGAATTAAATCCCACATCCCTGCACCACATGACACAGACACAGGAGCCTTTTCTAAAGTTCTTCCCAGACCTTGTACGGGCTAGAGGCAGACCACTCACACTGGCAAACAAAGCAGCTGTTTGTTTAATAAGTGATTGCTGCCATGGCTACAGTAAACAGGAGGAGCGGGGGTTTGTGTTTATGAACAAACACATCTCCTTGCAGGAGCCATTTAATATTAACCAGGTGGAATGATTGGGCGATTTCCTAGGTGACACTAGGGGCAGGCAGAGTGTAAACAGGTTCTGTGAGGAGAGGGGGGCCAGACGTTAGGGATTCAAGGTCGATGCAAATACAGCTTTCGGCTAGAAAGCAAAGCAGAAGTCAAGATAAACAAAAAGTCATTCTTGTGACATTTGAAGGCG